GTGTGTGTCTCTGTGTGTGTCTCTGTGTGTGTCTCTGTGTGTGTCTCTGTGTGTGTCTCTGTGTGTGTGTGTGTGTGTGTAGCGCACTCAAGACAGGAAGGACATGTATAATCTGAATGAGGAAGAGGAGCTGACCCATTACGGCCAGTCTCTGGCGGAGATGGAGAAGATGACGGATGTGATCGACAGCGACAGTGACTCTGAAGAAAAGGGCCTGCTGTCAGGTGAGGCATTTAAACATGAATGATCATCAGTAATCAATAGTCATTCATTGTTACGGTCAGTAACTGATGTGATGATGCATGTGTCTGCAGCTGAACTGACCGCCACACATTTCGGCGGCGGTGGAGGTTTGCTGAGGAAGAAGAGCGCTGGAGATGAAGACGGAGAACACAAGCCCAAATCACGGCAGGAGCTGATCGAGGAGCTCATTATCAAGTCCAAACAGGAGAAGGTCAGAAAGTGTGTCCTCAAATAATAAAATGTTACTTTACCGTGATTAAACATCATCCTGTCTCATCCTTAAACATCATCACACCAAGAACAAGAACTGTATATCTATAAGGATAGCTGTATAATAACTATAACATCTGTAACAATAACTATAACAGTAACCATAACTATACCAACATCTGTAACAATAACGACAGCTGTAACAATAACTACAACTGTGATTATAACTATAACATCTGTAACAATAACTATAACAGTAACCATAACTATACCAACATCTGTAACAATAACGACAGCTGTAACAATAACTACAACTGTGATTATAACTATAACATCTGTAACAATAACTATAATGACAGCTGTAACGATAACTGATAAGTATAATGAGAGCTGTTACGTTAACTATAGCTAACAATAGCTGTAACAATAAATATAACATCTGTAACCATAACTATAATGACAACTGTAACAATAATTGTAACAATATTTGTAATGATAACAATAAACGATATTATCAATGTTTTGTCGTCTGCCACCGTTACTGCTCAAGCTCTCTAGTTGAGAATATTCTGATGAGTGTTTTTATCATTCATCAGCTGGAGAAATAAAAGGTCTAAAAGTGAGTCCAACAATATCGTTCCTCGTTGTTATTGTTATAGTAGTAGAGTTAGAGTGATTATTAAACTTTATGGTTGTGAGCGGTTCTTTAATGCTGACTCTCTTGATGTTCTCAGCGCGAGCGTCAGACGCAGAAGGAGGAGGCGCAGGAGCTCACGGAGAAACTGGATCAGGAGTGGAAATCCATCCAGAACCTTCTGGCCCACAAAACCCCCAAAGCAGAGAGGAAGGACGAGACGGACAAACCCAAGGTACTGAAGCACCTGCGTCCAAATACTGATGCTGCTTCTGAGCGTGTGCTGCTGTTCCTCACTCTGACACGTGTGTGTGTGTGTGTGTGTGTGTGTGTCAGCTGGACGAGTATGACATGACTGTGCGAGAGCTGGGCTTCGAGATGAAGGCTCAACCGTCAGAGAAGCTGAAGAGCGCGGAGGAGCTCGCTCGAGAGGAGAAACAGCGCCTGCAGACTCTGGAGGTACTGAGCTCCTGCTGCCGTACACCTGAGGATGAGGAGGAGGAGGAGGAGGAGGAAGACCTCACTGATGTGTGTTTGTGTTTCAGGCCAACAGACTGAAGAGGATGATGGGAGACGCTGAGGAAGAGGCTGTTCAGACCAACATGCACATCTCTGCTGACGATATGAATGATGGATTCATACTGGACGGAGACGACCGCAAAACACTCGCTTACAAGGTCAGACACACACACACACACACACTCACTCGCCATAACAAACCTTAAAAACAAACCTGGAGCACAAAACCAGTCATAAGGGTACATTTTTTTTAAATTGTGATTTTTATGCATCATCTGAAAGCTGAATAAATTAGCTTAACATTGATGTATGGTTTGTTAGGATCGGACAATATTTGAAAATCTGGAATCTGAGGGTGCAAAAAAATCTAAATATTGAGAAAATCATCTTTAAAGTTGTTCAAATGAAGTTCTTAGCAATGCATATTACTAATCAAACATTAAGTTTTGATATATTTACGGTAGGACATTTACAAAATATCTTCATGGAACATGATCTTTACTTAATATCCTAATGATTTTTGGCATAAAAGAGAAATGTATAATTGTGACCCATACAATGTATTGTTGGCTATTGCTACAAATATCCCCCAGCGACTTAACACTGCTTTTGTGCTGCAGGCTCACACACACACACACACACATATATATATATACATATACATATACATGATTCTGTCTGTGCAGGACGGTAAATGGAACATTGAGGGAGAGGAGGAAGAGAAAGAGGATGATGATGGTGATGAAGAGGGAGGAGAGAAGGAGGAGGATGATGATGCTGAGAGTGAAGAAGACGACGAGGAGGAGGAGGAGGAGTGTGAGGATGATGATGATGATGAAGATGCAGATGATGATCACTGTGACCTGCAGTCTGATGAGGGCAGTGAGGATGAGGACGGTGAGGGCGCTGAGGAAGAGCAGGTCTGTGCTGAAGGGCCTCCAGCAGTGATTGAGGAGCAGAAGAAAGCTGCACAGGAAGCAGCCAAAGCAGAACTGCCCTACACCTTCACAGGTACCACAGTCACATGATCGTCAGGAACTCACCTGACCTGCTGCTAATGCATGTCTGAATGAATCTGTCCTGAAGACAAGTTTGTTTAGGGGTTAGAGGTCAGTTTAGGACATGCAGTGGAAGCCTAAGAGATGAACTCACTAGTGTGTGTGTGTGTTTCTCTCTCTCTGTGTGTGTGTGTGTGTGTGTGTGTGT